CCTTCTTTTTGGGGATCGCTCTTTATCTCTTCTGGGAGATTTATCTCTCTTTGGAGTTCTGTTTCTTTTCCTCTCTCTCCTGAGACTTTGGTTACTCTTTTTCTCTTCCTTTCCCTTATCTCTATGTGCGAAAGAGGTCCCTACCTTAGAAAGAAGAGCTTTTTCGTCATTTATATATTTCTCTGCTTTGGCAAGCACCTCGGCCATGCTTGGTTGGGGATTTTTTGATATGAAGAACATCAAATCTTTAGATTGCACCCCTAGACTAGCAATGAAGGCAGTGATGGTGAACTTTTCATCTGGGACATCTACCTTTAATGACTCCGAATTAAATCTTTGGACATAAGACCTGAGATTTTCTTAAGGTCCCTGTTTCACATTCAAAAGGTGATAGCTTGGCTATCTATAGGTTCGAGCCCCTATGAAGTGGGATACGAAGGAAATGGAAAGTTCTTTGAAGGAAGAGATTGAGGCTGGGGGAGCCTATTAAACCACGCCAAGGTTGAACCCTTTAAAGTGATGGCAAAGGCTCGACAGCGTACGGGGTCCTAGTACCCGTGCAACTCCATCTGGTTCTTATAATTATTGAGGTGGTCCATGGGGTCCCTGGTTCCATCAAAGGACTCTATTTGGATATTCAGTCTGTTGCACCAAGGCGTCCATTGTAATTGGAGCTTTACTTCTAACNTATTGAGTTGGTCCATGGGGTCATTGGTTCCATCAAAGGACTCTATCTGTGGCATCCTAAACTTTGGGGGGGAGGGAAAAATGCAACACCCCAGACGTGAATGGAGATTCAGTCTGCTGCACCAAGGTGTCCATTGTAACTGGAGCTTTACTTCTGACCGCTTCCTTCATGTGGCTGAGCTCCTGTTAGATGCCCTTCAAGCATTGCTCCTAATATTGTTCCCTTCTCTCCTGCTGATAAGGGAAGACATCATTATTTTCACCTTCATGGTTTTAACTTTGTACTTCCTCATTGTGGCCATTCCTAAGGGGTAGTTAGGGAACCTGCCCCAAGGTCTGGTTGTTCTCTCCTCCTTCGTTGTCTTCTCTGAGTGGATCAAGGTGTTGTTGATCCCTGTGACGGGGACTATTCTGACCTTCTTGGGGTAGACATGCCTCCTGTGGGCACTGTAAGAGCTTCAAGAGCTCTTCGTTTTGCTTTATTAAGTGCTGATTGACGAGGCGAAGGGCCTCCATCTCATTATTCGTGAGGGGATTCCCCATGGGAGGATCAATTTCTAGGACATTCTCGAGTTGTCTGTCATTGATGGCTTCCTGTTGGTCATGCATCCGGGGTGGGTTTGTTTGATTTCTGCTCATGTTTCGTGTTGATACCATCAGTCACTGAGAAATCAGCTTATTTGTAACAGGAACAGTTGTTCCCACAAACGGCGCCAAATTGATGGTGCAAACTAACGTGGGCGAACAGAGTGCGTGGGACCAAAGGTGAATTTAGGCTGTCAACTTCATAATGACAGAGATGAAGTGTTTCTTAGAGGGTAGGAAAATTTGTACAGTAAGAATATAGTGGTTCACCGGCTCTGGAGCTCGGCTAATCCACTCTCTAATGGAGGCTCTTGCACCTTTATTTTCTCTCTTGATTTCTCGAATGTATTACAATACAATGTATCATCTAATTAGGGTTTTTCTAGGGGCACCTCCTCTCTCGATGAGGCGTTACATAGTATTTATAAGGCTGCTCCCTATTATGTGGGATTTCAGTCGAGATTTTTGTCAATTATTCATGGGATCCTCCTTAATTTTAGGAGAGAATCTTAGTTAGTTGAGAGTTTCATGCATTGGACTTAATTTTCGCAGTCATCTAGTTGTTTCCTGGTTGGTTCTGTTACGAGCTCCCCAAGAGGAGCTCTACCCCTGGCTCTTTGAGTNTAATTTTCGCAGTCATCTAGTTGTTTCCTAGTTGGTTCTGTTACGATCTCCCCAAGGAGAGCTCTACCCCTGGCTCTTTGAGTTCCCTGTGTCTTTCCTGACCTCCTGACCTGAGCTCACAGTTAGGACTTGTTTGAAGTATCATCATGATTCATGATCAAATTACGTGCCATGATAACTAGACCTAGACCTAGACTGTAAATCGCTAAGATGCGTGAAAAAATGTTTAAATTTGAAAGTGTCTTTTAGAATGTGACTGTTGATGAGAGTTATCATTTAACTGTCTGTAAATTAATAGACATGTCTTTTTGTTCTTGAANATTTCAGCCGAGATCTTTGCCAATTATTCATGAGATCCTCCTTGATTTTAGGAGATAATCTTAATTGGTTGAGAGTTTCATGCATTGGGCTCAATTTTCACAGTCATCCAACTGTTTTCTGGTTGGTTCTGTCACTATCTCCCCAAGGGGAGCTCTATCTCTGGTTCTCTGAGTTTCCCGCGTCTTTCCTGATCTATTGACCTGAGCTCACAGTTAGGGCTTGTTTGAAGTATCATCAGATTTCAACATTTTATGATCAATCATGCTCTTTGAAATTATAACTTACTCATCAAAAAAAATTATAACTTAAGATTAAAAAGTTGTAATTTTTGATACCGGTGGTACTGTAGAATTTCCCAGTTTGAAATGTCCAACACAGTTGGAGATGAGAATTTGAGATCAGAAAGGAAAACTCAATTCTATAGTAGCCAAAACTAAGCATCATGCATTACTCAAGTGAAACTGGAATGTGACACAGGGCAGTTTGCAAATGGTTACCTTTCCAATGCCAGCGGCAAGCCACCCACATTCACCCGTCAGCTTANGAAACTGGAATGTGACACAGGGCAGTTTGCAAATGGTTACCTTTCCAATGCCAGCAGCAAGCCACCCATATTCACGCGTCAGCTTAGTAAAAATTGGAATGATATAAACCATATATATAATAAACAGTGTAGTCGTGTAGATCCGTTAAGCTGGGATATTACGGNTGAAACTGGAATGTGACACAGGGCAGTTTGCAAATGGTTACCTTTCCAATGCCAGCGGCAAGCCACCCACATTCACCCGTCAGCTTAGTAAAAATTGGGATGATATAAACCATATATATAATAAACAGTGTAGTCGTGTAGATCCGTTAAGCTGGGATATTACAGGCAATATATTTGATTGTTTAGAACATAAATAATCATCGATACAATTAGTATCCTATCCTGTAATTGACTGTTTTCAAATCTACACGTCTTTGTTCTAATATAACTCTATATAACTGATTACTCACAGAATAAAAAATAAAAGCCCATATAAGTGATTGTTTCCAAAGTAAAACAGGTTTCAAGAAAAAGCATTTCATTATCGGAAACTAATGATACTCTAAATATGTCTAAGATTGAGCTCGGGTCATCTAAACTCAAATCATTCAGCCCATCTCGATTGACCAAGGAACCTGAGGTTGGTGCCTCCCTCCAACAACTACACCTTCGTAGGTACAACACTAAAGACTGTTGGCTTCCACCCAAGTACTATACATAACGTAACGACAGTACATCTGGACAAAGAAGTCGTAACCGCTTTATCAATATCCATAACAGTCACGTGAAATGTGTAACCATTACGAGAAGAGGGCTAAGATCACAGTCAGGNTTCGTAGGTACAACACTAAAGACTGTTGGCTTCCACCCAAGTACTATACATAACGTAACGACAGTACATCTAGACAAAGAAGTCGTAACCGCTTTATCAATATCCATAACAGTCACGTGAAATGTGTAACCATTATGAGAAGAGGGCTAAGATCACAGTCAAGATCATGGAAGGCCTCTGAAGACTATAAATATGAGATATATCCCTCACAACAAATGACAAACAACTCTAGCCTAAATAAATAACTTTTGTAATCTTCTCCATAGTCAGTAATATACTCAAGAGTAAGAGATTCACTTCAGAATGGATTAGTCAAGCTGCTGAATTGATGAAGTACTATAAATTCTCTATGTGCAATCCCCTTTCCCTTGGTCAAACCCTTAAGAGCTTAATAGTGNATATGAGATATATCCCTCACAACAAATGACAAACAACTCTAGCCTAAATAAATAACCTTTGTAATCTTCCCCATAATCAGTAATATACTCAGGAGTAAGAGATTTCCTTCAGAGTGAATTAGTCAAGCTGCTGAGCTGATGAAGTACTATAAACTCTCTGTGTGCAATCCCCTTTGTTCAAACCCTTAAGAGCTTAATAGCGCTGATTGAGTTGTTCAGTGACCCTTTAGTCCTTAGCTGTCATTAGCTCTGCTCATTTGTCTGACATACANGCTGATTGAGTTGTTCAGTGACCCTTTAGTCCTTAGCTGTCATTAGCTCTGCTCATTTGTCTGACATACATCAGAAATAAGAAAGAAACCACCATAGAGAGGAAACATAGCTAGAAAATCCCCCTGTTAATTCAGAAAATTGATTCCTCTTTGCTTTGTGGGCAATTCAGTAGATATCAGATTAAGACATTCAACTACTCCTTTGTCCTCTGCAATGTGCAGCTGAATCAGAAATTAAAGATGACGACAAATGACAACTAAATTTCAGGCAGCGTGATGCTTCTATTACTTCAGTATAATTAATGAAGAGATTTTGTAAGGTTTCAATTTCTTAAATATACCTTAACCAAAAAAAAAAACCTACTACACAAGGCTGGAACTTTTTGATTGAATATTGGGTACCTGACTAGGATCAATTGTTGTTTTGTGACATACACATGCATGGCTCTTAGGCCAATGTCTAGTGTTCACAAGTCAACCATATTCTCACCTCATGTGGCATGTGGGTGTGTTTTTTTTTGGGGAGAGGTGGTCGTCATCTCATGTGGGTTTATTTCAGTCAAACTTTATGAAGGGTGGAGGATTTTGAGATTCTGTTCNTGTGGCATGTGGGTGTGTTTTTTTTTGGGGAGAGGTGGTCGTCATCTCATGTGGGTTTATTTCAGTCAAACTTTATGAAGGGTGGAGGATTTTGAGATTCTGTTCTGTATCAATAGTGAAAACACTTTGTACTGCAGGAAAGTAGAAACTCCATGAACAGTCAAGAGAAGATGAAGACCCTAATGCAACAGAAGAAAGGCAGGCGATTGTTACTGTTTCCATTGCCATTACAAGGCCACATTACTCCTATGCTTCAGCTTGCAAACATCCTTCACTCCAAAGGCTTCAGTATCACCATAATTCACACTCACTTCAACTCTCCCAACCAATTCAACTATCCTCAGTTCACCTTCGAGCCTATCTCCGACGGCTTGTCAGAAAACGATGCTTCGACCATAGATGTCTTGGCTTTGATCTCTCTCCTCAATAGCAATTGTGTTGAGCCGTTTCGTGATTGCTTGGCTCGGTTGTTATCGGAGGTTGCAGAAGAGCCTTTTGCGTGCTTAATCACAGATGCCGTCTGGTACTTCACACAGGCAGTGGTTGATAGCCTTAAACTCCCAAGGATTGTCATACACACTACCAGCGTCTGCTCATTTCTTGCTTTTGCTGCCCTTCCACTTCTAAGGGAAAAGGGGTATCTGCCTAAGCAAGGTGTGATTTATGCCCCCCCCCCCCCCCC